TTCATCATCTCACATCGTCTCATTTACTGTGAATCGAGCTGTTCTGTATTACTTCACAATAAAAGTTTTATTGCGATATAACGTTTAATATTTGTATTTAATAATAATCACAAAAATCCTATTGCAATCCTATAGCAATGGCAATGTTGTCTATGAAAAAAATGGAAAGAGATTATTTTCTCTGTTCACAGAAAGAGGTTGGAGTTGGTTTTTATTAATTAAGGCTATAATGGTCACACTTTATTTGAAGGACCAATTCTTGCTATTAACAAACCATTAACTATGACTTTTGCCTAAATAAACGCCTAATTTGCTGCTTATTAAGGTAGTTGTGAAGTTTAGGTATTGGGTAGGATTAGGGATGTAGAATATGGTCATGCAGAATATGTGCTTTATAAGTACTAATAAACAGCCAATATGTTATAAATAGGCATGCTAATAAGTAACTAATTAATAGTGAGAATTGGTCCCTATTCTAAACTGTTACCACTATAACATTAATGTGAACACCTAATTTATTCCCAAATTGTCCAACCCTAAAAAGATGGTTCAGACTCAGATGTCTTGGGAGAAAGATGCACTCTCCCCAAAAAAGGTTAAATAGCTATTTTAGTGAACATTCCTAATTTTTGTCATAACGTAAAATACATATTGCAGAATAAATATTGCAATGTCAGTTTTTTTAATATCATGCAGTCCTACTACCTAGAGTATCTATCTATCTATCTATCTATCTATCTATCTATCTATCTATCTATCTATTTAGACTGTAAATACCCTCAGACAATTCTTTACATACATTTTTTAAACTGTCAGAGAAGCCAACATTCAAAGCTACACATGCCCCCTAAACAACAAAGAACAGACAACAATGAGAGAGAAGAAACAGGAAAGGCTGAATGAATCTATTCAGTAATTCAATGAGGAGGCTCTTGAGAGCACCAGAGGTGTGCATCACAGAGAGAATCTATTTGTGACTGGAGGGAGCTGAGCGTGAATGGACCAGTTTATGAACTAGCACTAACTACAGCGCACAGCACATTCACTGTTTTCTATTATCTCAAAGAGATTTAACTTGACTTAGAAGCGATTCAAGCAATAATACTGAAAAGTAATCCAACGTTACCCCTGAAATGCAGGTAATGTTATCCGTATGACTATTAGAAATGCAGCATTAGAGTAAAATGTGTTGACTTTGCTTTCAGTCGCTATGGCACCAGCAAACACTAAATACGCCGTCTCCGTTGCTTTGTTTGCAAACAATATTTGCCGAAACACTCCTGCCACAACTGCCTGCCACGGTTCATTAACCATTGCATGGCGAAATAATCAGAAAGCAATCCTACACTCATACTCATCCATCCTTATTTGACAGGTTTCCTGTAAAAGGTTTCTGTTTATTAATGCACAAATGGCTGATAATAACACACACTTTGAGATGGTTCAGTACCTCTACATTCAAATGGCCTGGAATATTTGCTGCTGAAATAAGCAGTGAATTCATATAGTGGCCCAACTAGCATCAGGTATAGCATAATTTGTTTGCAGATGTCACTTGACTTGATGTTGTATTGTTAACGTAATTATATTTAGGCATTTTAAATGTCCAACTACTTTTTGGGCTTGCTGTATGTATGGCTTCAGCTCTGAAAAATGTAAAAACAAAGCCAGAGGAAAGGTTGGCCATGAAGGTAATGCAATGGATCGTTTGTTTTTATTTGTGATGATGGGTATGTGTATGTGCAGGGCAGTCAACAGCGCAGTTGCTCCAGCTGAATCCACAGAGCACCAGACAATTTTTACCAATTATGTGTGATTGTGCTTTCATTAAATACACTGCAGGTGGTGTATGAAGCATCTTTTGGCAGCCAAAAGAAAATGCCTCCTACACATGGCCTTGCGACCCACACAACAGAGTCCTTCCTGAGGATAAAGGGAAAGAGCAAGAGAGAGGTTTTTCGTTACTTTACAAAAGCAAAATATGCTTGGTTTGATGTGGAGCGGCCCGATCGATTCTTGTTTACTGTGTAAATAAACTCACGGTAAACACGTTTTTGATACTGACTCGGAAATCCAACCAATTGCCTGCTGTGAGATCAGCTGACAAGTTGTAACATTTCTGAAATTATAAAAAAAAATAAGTAACCTTTCACCAAATTAGTTTTTCAAAGCTAGTATAAATCGATGCTGATTGACCAGCTAATTGATGATCTCCCAAAGCAATTTCAAGGGCTTTTTGATCATATAAAGCACTGATCTTGCCAACAGGATGATATGACATCCTAGCCTCTGAGTCATCCCAAATGTGCGGCTGTGATCTATTCAAAGTGGGTTTAAAATAGCTCTTTTAGCTGTGTCATGAGTTCTCCATCTACTCCAGAAAGCATATGCCTTGGAGGCTTCTCTAAAATAATCTCTTATAAGCCAAAATCTTGAAGCTATAGTTTTATGACCCTTTCTTTTTGTATCCATTAAGCCTAACAATGAACTGTGAAATCCTAAAAAAAGGTCTATACATTACCGTTCAAAAGTTTGGGGTCAGTTTTTCATGTTTTTGAAAGAAGTCTCTTATGCTTGCCAAAGCTGCATTTATTTTATTAAAAAGCCTTTAAAACAGTAATATTGTGAAATATTATATAACTGTTTCTATTTTTATATATTTTTAAATGTAATTTATTCCTGTGATAGCAAAGCTGAATTTTCAGCAGCCAGTCTTTGCAGAAATCATATTGTCGAAAACCATCATCCTGCTTAATATTTTTGCGTACATCGTACATTTTGAGGATTCTTTGATGAATAGAATGTTCAAAAGTACAGCATTTATCTGAAACAGATTTTTTGTTGTTGTAATGATGTAGAAGTGCTTACTGTCACTTATGATCAACTTAATGCATCCTTGCTGAATAAAGCATTAATTTCTTTCTCCAATAAATAAATAAATAAATCTGTCCCCAAACTTTTGAAGAATATATATTTGTCCCAAAAATACTCATCAAAATGCCAGCAGTAGCTTGACAGCCCCTGGTCATTATTGACTTTCATTATACAGGGAACAGCAGCATAAACTTCTCCTTTTCATTCCCCAGAAGAAAGAAAATCACACAGGATTGAAAACGCACACAAGTCTGAGTAAACAATGACAGAACTTTCAACTATTTCTGTAAGTGTCTGCATTTGACGATATAAAAAATGCCTATGAAACTGGCAGAAAATCAGAGGCAAAACATTGTTTGTTTGTCACGGAAACAGTGCTTGCAGGTATACTTGTCACACAGAAATGGTGAAAAATGCTGGTTGTGGGCTTATGTGTCAGCAGATGCAGCAATTTTGCCCCTGCCAGCACTGGGATGTTTTGACTACACTGACATGAATGCTGCCAGGACTGAGGAGATTTTATGCTGAACTTCCCTCCTACTTGTTCTGCTCCCCTCGCTTGCTATTTGTCCATCCATCGAAAAGACACGCTTACCAGTTGATATATTAACGATTTCTTACCGTCACGTTTCCCTGAAGGCATTTTTCAGTGTGTTATAGATCCCTTAAGTGCTTTCAGCGAATGCCTATTTGGCCATATTTACAAACTGAGGATTTTTAATTAGGATAAGAAAATAAACTTAGTCTCCAAGTAAATGCTCTGTAGCATCCCATCTGAGCAATATAAGATCCATTAAGAACAAAATGGACTAACTTTGGACTAATGGACTTTTCTGTCTCTTTAGCTGTGTTTTTTTGCTTTCTGAGTGACAAACATTGGGAGACAGTATGCTAATTCCCCACCATGAAGTCTGAGCTAGCAGGAAAAGTGGAAAAGGAAAAGTGGGTTAGCAATCTTCAAAGTACATTTGAAAGACTGAGATTTAATGGCGGAGGCTCAGATGAGATCTCTCTCTCAATATAGCTGAGGAAAAAGAGCTAAAATATGAAGACTATAAGCTTCTGCAATTTTTTAAGCCCAGTGCTTTTCATATGGATGTACCTTTTGGCTTAATACCTTTTAAAGTTGCTGTCCTAAGGTGATGTGTGTATTTTATTCAATGTTAAAAAACATTCTCGTAAACTGTGAAGTAGGGCTGTGCAAAAAATCGAATGCGATTTTCATGCGCATCTCGTCAGTAAAGCCGCTCCTGTGATTAGAAGTAAATCTCCAGCACGTGCGTTCAGATGGAGCGGCATTTATTACACAGAGCCGTAGTTCACTGACAAGCTACACAAAATCGTATTCAAAATCGCAGGCGATTTGTTGCCGATTTTGAACGTGATTTTGTGTAGCTTGCCGATTTTTTGCACAGCCCTACTGTGAAGAGACACATTCACAATAACTTCCTGTATGCCTAAAGAATGCTGTGAAAACTTCAGAACAAGCCATTTTACTATTCCGTTTGAATACAGGGACACATGCAAATTTTTCTTGATTACTCTCTTCATCCCCAAATGACAGAAAATTCTGTACTTCTAGACAAACATCATAATTGTGCCAGCACTGAAGTTTCTGTAAGGCAGGGGAATTTGATTTATTATAAACTCAAGGACAATAAAACCAAAGCACGTCCTTCACTTGAGAAGAACAAATTATTTAAGATCTAAAAATATTATGTTGTTTGAAGTAGTCAAGAGGGACGTTTGCCTTACTTAGATCTCATTACAATGGGGATCTTACCGTAACATTACACTGTGAACACTAAGGGGATGTTAACATGACGTGTGTATTTGCATTCAAAGTAGACTGAGTGCAACAGCTTGGAACAGAACGCAAGGGTCTTGATATGCACAACGAGGAGCATCGCAACAGCCAAGACATCATTCTAATGCATAAACTAACAATGCTAGGAATGCTAGATCACAACCTGCTTGAATTACTCTTCCATTTCAAGGCAAAACTAATCAAATACAATCCCAAATTTGTACATACAAATCTCTGTTCACCCAAAATAATTTATATAACCAAAATGCTGTATCTACTGAGTCAAACAGCTCCTCCCCAGGGGAAGTTTCCCACCTACCTGGCAAGCCTGGTACAACAGCTGGTGCTCAAATTTCTTGATCCCCAGGATCTGCTGGAACATCTCGTAGAGCTGGTCTTTGCTCAGGATGAGCTCGGAAGCAGCGCTGGCTGTCATGCGCTGCTGTGCCTTGCGTGGGTCCTCGTCTCCACGGTAGATGGTGTCAAACTTAGCCATCCAGGAGCTCAGCACAGTCTCCTTGCTCAGACCATCGATCTCTGGCAGGCTCCGGACACGTTTCTCGATATGGCGCTTGAACACCTCGCGACAGTCCAGAGCAGATAAACCTCCTGTTTGGACCATCTTAGCAACACGATCGCTCTTCAGAAAAACCTGCAGTTCACACAGACAAGGGGGAGGAAAAATAATTCAAAACATATTCCATATAAACATATTCATAATAGGAGTTTTGTGATTCTTAGTCAAGTGCATGTGCTATATGCTATCTAAACACTGACTTAACTGACCTTTAAATATACAAATGTAGTTTCATTGAATAAAATTAAATAAATATATTTATTTCATATTATGGTCCCACTTTATATTAGGTAGCCTTAACTACTGAGTACTTACATTTAAATTAATAGTTTGGTACAATGCACTTATTGTGTAAATACATGTTTTTACATTGTACTTATATTTTAAAAATACCTGCATGTAATGTAATTAATTTCTGTGACTGCATTTATAATTACACTTGTTGACACACCCCTTATACATTAACCCACCCTTAAACCTACCCATACCACCAAACTTGTCCCTAACCTTACCCGTATCCCACCTTAATAGCAGCAAAAGTGTTTAGCAATACAATATGAACACAATAACTACATTGTGCTTATTTTTTCACGCAAGTACATAGTAGTTAAGGTCACCTAATATAAAGTGGGACCAATATTATTCTTTGAGTATAATACTATATTAATCTAACTGAATAATTAAAGGCTACTGGCAATTTTTGTAAAAAAAAATTATATGTCCCATTCAATCTTCCTGTTTCTATAGGACTATAATTAACATAAGACAAAAAACTGCACTTGCCAAGTCATTTCATTGGGCCTTTAAAGGTGAGGTGGTGATAAAACCAGGAATACAGATGTGCCCTTCAAAAAGTTTCACTTGGGTAACTTGAAAACATTCACTGTGTTTTCAATCACTCCAATCTGCTAGAGGAAATTATGCCTCAGTGCTCCTTTAATATTCTATGCTGTGATAGATACAACATCATCTACAGTGATATACTGCAGTAATATAACCAATGCCATTAAAGCCATGGAAAGCAATGGTAACTGTAAAATTTCACAGCTTTGAAATGATGGGATCAGTGTGGGCAAAAACGTTGCAGTCCTATGGGCTCTCGCTCTGAATTATTCAGAAGATATTTTCTAATTCAAACCGGAATAACGGGAGAGAACATTCGTGATTTTATTCTTTAGTCCAACTGAAATGACTATTGAGTTCCAACTGCCTCCTCTTTTCCTATACGCAATGTTTCAAATCTGGTTTTACAGAGGTGTGAGTAAAACATGATTTATGTTTTTCTCAACAATTGGAGTGCTTGGCAGCTGCTTTTCTTCGTTCCTTTTAAAAGCCCTTCTATCGTTCTCCATTCAAGAAGACAAATAGAGCTTTAAACTGCTGTCTGGTCCCAATTCAGACTGTAGTTTACTATGAGCTTCTCTTTCTGTGGCCTGCTATGATAAACTGATTTGGAAATTTACAATTCTGCAAACAAGCCCTGCAAAGGCTTTTCTAGTTGGATCATTATGGAAACCTGAGGGGGGAAAAAAGAGCTTGTTTCAGAGAAGTATTGCTATAGTCTATAGTCTTTAGTTTGTAAAAATAGGGCACAATGTACTGTGCTAATATGAATTTTCCATATTTATTTTCACAGGTGGTTTACCTGTTTTACACATATTGTGTTTTAGGGTTAAAGGAAATGCCCTGGCATAAGATTAACAGTCTTTTCTGTTTTTCTACAGATTGTATGAAGTGTAGCAGTTCACAATTTGCCCATTTCATAACTAATTGCCTGTTATTATCTGCAAGTTGTAGGCACTATGGAAGACGTACATTTTCATTCACTGTATATGCTTAGCTATTAATTCTTGCATATGTCTACACACTAGCACTCATACCATATACAACACTCATGAGAATCTTGTAATTGCTACTGGCTACAAGAAATCATTATTTATATCTTTGGCAATTAAACACAATGCACATGTATTAATGATTGCATATGTGAGGCAGCCTAAAGTATTTTAATAACCACTTTCAGCCATATTGCGCAAGTAAATTAGCATGCACAGAGGCCCAAACCACAGCAACAGGACCACAATATTTGAATCCACTAGAATAGCAATCTCTTCACAGAGCATGTGTAAACACTTGTGTTTTAGCTAAGGAGAGCCGTCCCCGAAGGGCTATTTAGACTCTCATCTCTATGGAAATTCACTTACAAAGTTGTGTCATCATCTAAATATTTTGTCTAATCTGCAGTGCGGTAACTACAACTGGCTATGTAACATTTCAACACACACGGTACAATAATCAACGGGTCATTGTTTTTTGCCATCATTAGCCCGAGCTAATCGCCTGAAGGCGAGGTTAACATGTCACAACCTTACACGGACAGAGACACCAAACTCATTTGAATTAATTCAGTGCACTTTTCTTTAGAGGACAATGTGGTGAATTCACAGAAAAATGTTAATAGTAAAGCACCTAGATTATTTTTAGCTGCTTATTCTACTTAAATGTCCTTTATCTAATACTTTTATTGTTAGTTTAAAGGTACTGTGAGATATTTTTAGGAAGAAAGCATAAACAACTACCTGTCAGATATCGATGTTGTGTTTTCATGTATGCTTTTGGCAAATCACACATCTTTGTAAATGGACCTTTTTCACATTTCCGGGTTTCTCAGCAGCGGAAGTCGTCATAGTTGGGTAAACTTGAATAGCAGTGAATGGGAGAGTACCACAAATATATTTTTTGCATTCCTAGTTGCTCAAATTGCAAAAGAAATGCTCCACGATAGTGTTTTCATGACTTTCAATAAAAGGAAAAAAATTGAGATAGACTGATAACGGCAGTCAGAAGAGAGAACGATGTCAAATTTACCGTCCCTCCCATAGACGCTGCATTAGAAACACCCTCGCATTAGCGTTAACTGTTTTTTTGTAATTTGATGCAAAGGTGATATAATACAAAGAAATTATATATATAAATGTAGACACATTTTAAAAAAATACAAATATGAAAAACGTTTGAGGATTTACGATGCTGATGACCGTTAAACGCGTCATCACAGTCTTGTGTGAAAAGGGTCCATAGTATGTTCAGTAAACATCACAAAAAAGGGGAGTGGCCTGCACTTTTTTATCGGAAAACTAGACAATTAAACATGCTCTGAAGTTGTGTAATTTGAATATTTTAATACACTACTATTCAAATGTTTGGGGTGAGTAAGATTTTTTTTTTTTTTTATGTTTTTGTATCTTAGGCTCACAAAGGCTGTATTTATTCGATTAAAAATGCAGTAAAAATAGTAATATTATGAAATATTATTAGTTAAAATAACTGCTTTCTATTTTAATATATTTTAAAATGTAATTTAATCCATTGAAGGTAAAGCTGAATTTTCAGCAGCCATTACTCCAGTCTTTAGTGTCACATGATCCTTAAGAAATCATTCTAATATAATGATTTAGTGATTTTAAAAAATCGTATTATTATCAATGTTGAAAACAGGTGTGCTGCTCAGTAATGTTATTGGAACCAATAACTTTTTTCAGGTTTCTTTATAATACTTTTTAGATGTATTTATTGTCACCTTTTAATTTAATGTTTTTGTATCTTAGGCTCACAAAGGCTGTATTTATTCGATTAAAAATGCAGTAAAAATAGTAATATTATGAAATATTATTAGTTAAAATAACTGCTTTCTATTTTAATATATTTTCAAATGTAATTTAATCCATTGAAGGTAAAGCTGAATTTTCAGCAGCCATTACTCCAGTCTTTAGTGTCACATGATCCTTAAGAAATCATTCTAATATAATGATTTAGTGATTTAAAAAAATCGTATTATTATCAATGTTGAAAACAGGTGTGCTGCTCAGTAATGTTATTGGAACCAATAACTTTTTTCAGGTTTCTTTATAATACTTTTTAGATGTATTTATTGTCACCTTTTAATTTAATGTATCCTAGTCAAATGAAAGTATTAATTTCTTTAAAAAATTACTGCCCATTCACTTTTTAATGGTAGTGCACAAATCATTATAATGGTTGTTAAATTTAAAGTTTAACAACATTCCACTTTGACCAATAAGGAAACCACTACATTCTTTTATCTTTATCTTTTATCCAACCAAAATAGGCTGATAAGTCTGAGGCGCACCAGGTTTGAGGCTAAAGTGATGCCTAAAAAGTTTAAGAGTAGACGTTAAAAAGGCTGATCAACCAATAATGCCATGAAGTGATTACTTGAGCAATAAATGGGGCAGTTTCCGCCATTCATTCTACTGTTGCAATGATACTTCACCTCAAAATAGCTCTGAACTGCATTGATGAAGGCTTCATCTGCCACAATCTGTGTGTCTCCTTTGAGAAAAGACTCGAAGCGGTCCTTAGTGGTCTGCAGCTGCTGCTTGGTGATCTACAAGGAGAAATGAAAAAATAAAACAATGTCAAAATTCACATAATTTATGATTACAAAAACCCCAACAAAATTTCATAAGACCAGTGCATTCGTTTGTAGTTATTATAGATAATGCAATATAAAAATTGTTAGCTTTTTAATCAGTGACTCAATCTAAAATGGTCTCAGTTGAATTTGTTATCAGATTTTACACACTTAGATATTTACATTTACATTTACATTTAGTCATTTAGCAGACGCTTTTATCCAAAGCGACTTACAATTGGGGGATACATAAAGCGATTCTTCTTAAAGAGGCAAACAGACACAAGAAGTGGTTGTAATACCAAGTTCTTAGACATTGTTCAAATAAGCTAGAAAGAGAAGGAATAAATAAAGAGAGAGATACTTGTTTTTAAAAAAAAAAAAAATTTTTATGATGAAGTCAAGTAGCTTCGAAAGAGATGAGTTTTCAGCTGTCGCTTGAAAATTGTCAGGGATTCAGCATTCCGGATAGGGGGGGGACGATCGTTCCACCAGCTAGGAGTGGTGAACGAGAATGTTCTGGAGAGGGATTTTGAGCCTCTCTGTGATGGTACCACGAGGCGTCGCTCACTAGCGGATCTCAGACTTCTGAAGGGGATGTAAATTCGTAGTAGTGAGTGGAAGGAGGCGGGTGCTGAGCCTGTGGCTGTTCTATATGCAAGCATCAATGTCTTGAACTTGATTCGGGCCGCAACCGGTAGCCAGTCCAAGCAGATAAAGAGAGGTGTAACATGGGCTCTTTTGGGCTCGTTGAAGACCAGTCGTGCCGCTGCATTCTGAATCATTTGTAGAGGTTTGATTGTGCTTGATGGGAGTCCAGCCAGAAGAGCATTGCAGTAGTCCAGCCTAGAGATGACAAGGGCCTGGACAAGAAGTTGTGCAGCATGCTCCGTTAGAAAGGGCCTGATCTTTCTGATGTTGTGCAATGCAAACCTGCAAGATCGAGCGGTCTTTGCAATGTGGTCTTTGAAGGTCAGCTGGTTATCAAAAGTTACACCAAGATTTCTGACCGAAGTTGATGGGGTAATTGTAGAAGAACCTAGCTGGATGGAAAAATCATACTGTAGAGTTGGAGTGGCAGGGAAGACAAGAAGCTCAGTCTTTGCCCGGTTGAGCTGTAAGTGATATTCTTTCATCGATGCCGAGATGTCTGCCTGGCAGCCTGAGATCCGTGCAGCTACCGTTGGATCATCTGGTTGAAATGAAAGATAGAGCTGTGTGTCATCAGCATAGCAATGGTAGGAGAAGCCATGTGCTTGTATGATGGGACCCAGTGATGTTGTGTATATGGAGAAGAGGAGGGGTCCAAGAACTGATCCCTGAGGAACCCCAGTGACAAGTTGATGTGCTTTGGATACCTCCCCTCCCCAAGACACCCTGAAAGACCTACCAGTGAGATAGGATTGAAACCAGCTAAGTGGAATCCCTGTGATGCCCATTGAAGAGAGGGCAGACAGGAGGATCTGATGATTGACAGTGTCAAAAGCAGCAGAAAGATCCAGCAGAATAAGGACTGATGATTTGGAATCAGCTTTTGCAATCCGCAAGGCTTCTGTGACTGACAGTAGCGCAGTCTCAGTTGAATGGCCACTCCTGAAACCTGACTGGTTAGGATCCAGTTTGTAGATATGGATCCAATTCTATTACGGTTCAGGACTAAAGTAAATGATGTTACCACAAAAGGGTTAAGAGATTTTTCAGAAACAAATGACAAAGTTAAGTGGGTTTCTTTTTTTAGCAGGAGACATTTAATGCATCCTTGTTTTTCCCGAAACACTCCCACAAGAACATAGTTTCTTCTCAAGTCTACACTTAAAAATATGCTTTCTGCTTTAAGCTAAAAAAAAAATAATCAGCCACCTTCTAACTCAATCACACACATTCTCTCTATTCTCACAGCCAGATATCTCTAGCTACATCTCTCTCACACTCATTCTCTCACTTGCACGCTCTAATTTTAACTTTCCCTTTGCAGAAACTGTGTACCTAAATCCTTCATATTTTTTATATATGTTGATTTTTCATGCTTTTTCATGCTTATTTCACCGCAAGCCTACAAACGCTTCTACTTCCTTCTCTCTCTCGCTCTCTCTCTCCTAATGTGATTCATCACTCTCCCTGAATGTCATCAGGGCACAAGATGACAGAGTGACGAATGAGTAAGCAACAGACCGAGAGAAGTGTTGTGAAGGAGAAAAAGAGCAGACCAAACAGTATCCTCCTCCTCCTCACATAAAGCAAAAGAGTGAAGCACTGACAGTTACAGTGCCACTGTGTTTTATGACAGTGGATATCAACTGGTTTTGCATCAGGGCCCAGATTTTACAGTGGACATAATGTTGCACCCCAACACGATGAATTGTTTATCATATAAATAAAAAGCCGAAGAAAAAGATCACTCAGTCAAAAATGAAAAGTCATGTTTTTTTATTTGCATAGTTATATTTATTAATATATAACTTTATATATTTTAAAATAAAAAATGTTAATGTTGGGAGGAGCTTGAAAATTCACTATGAACTGATATTAATATACATTATTATATTATCACTTACATCAAAAGAGCTGTGTTAAGATTTTTATTTATGGTTTTACTGTCATGTTCCACTGAAAACATAAAAGCAAATGTGTTTGGAACAATATAAGGGTGAGTGAATAATGACAGAATTTTAATTTTTTATGAACTATCCCTTTAACATTACTATGAACTGCACAACAATACGCAAATTGAATAGGAAAATTGTCAATTCTGTAAACGCATAAACAGCAGTGTGTGATTTATCAGCCTAACACGTGGAGCAAACACTGGGCCAAATATTGTATTAGGCTGCTGAATACGAGAAGTGTGCATAAACATATCAATGTGATTTCAGTGCAATTACCAACAAAAGCAATAACTCAAAGCAATAACTCAAAGCTCTGTCAGTCTTATAATGGAAGTGAATGGGAATCACGGCTACACAAACAAAACCAAATTAAACCCTGCTGCTCGTGACGATACATTGATGTGTAAACGAAATGATCGGTCTGTGCAAGAAACTGAACAGTATTTATATAGTTTTTTACCTCTGATGCACTGCAATGTCTGAACTGTCCTGAGCGCGTCCTGAGCGTGTCCTCGACAGCCGGCGCGTGACGCGTCTTCTTTTTCTTCTTGCTTTACGGCGGAATGCAGACTTATAAGTGCATTACCGCCACCTATCTCTCAAATGGACCATTGACACTCCTAATTGAGACTGTAGATAAAGTGTCAATGGTCCATTTGAGAGATAGGTGGTGGTAATGCACTTATAAGTCTGTTATCCGCAGAAAAGCAAGAAGAAGAAGAAGACGCATCAGCTGTCAAGGACAGACTCAGGACACAGATACCATTCAGATTCTTGCACAGACCGATCGTTTTGTGTCTTTACACATCAATGTATCGTCACGAGCCGCAGGGTTTAATATGGCTCTGTCAGGACCACTATCGTCAAATGATAGATACTTAGCATAAAGTTTGGTTTGGCGGTATGGTTCTGTTCTGGGCAAAAAACTCCCTGCCCATCCATGCAGCCTGTCATGAATGAGCTGGGAGAGCAGCAATAATAACCCCCCTAGGGTTAACAGAACAGAAAAAGGCAGATATCATTAATGTACTTAATGATATTTAAGTGTAACACTTTATTCAAGATAAAGGAGTCTGATTAGCCAGGAATATCAGAAAGCCAAGTCCTGACTGTGGCGAAAGGAGGAGCTGGGGATGGAGGAGGGTAATTTGCTCCTGAGCAAGCTGAAAAGCTGCTGAATCTGAAAAGCTGCTGAATAATACTGAATAGAGCTTATATAGGAATGCCGCGATAGGTGTCGTATTCCTATAGGTAGATGTGATCAGCTGAGAATCAGCTGATGCAAGCTTGACTCACGTGACCTGCCAGAACTAACGCTAACGCTTCATTTTTGTTTGTGTATGTTTTATTTGACTCTCAAAGCCGTGATTCCATTCACTTCCATTATAAGACTGACAGACTGCAACAGTTTGAGTTAAAAATCTTTGTTTGTGTTCTACTGAAGAAACAAAGTCACCTACATCTTGGATGCCCTGGAGGTAAGCAGATAAACATCAAATTTTCATTTTTGGGTGAACTATCCCTTTAATGTAGCCTGGTTTGTGTTTTCTTTTCATTTGTACACACTACATTTGACATCTACAAAAAAAACATTTATGTATTTTTTTCTTAATTTTAAAGGGGTCATATGATACGATTTAATTTGTCCTTTGTCTTTGGAGTATTACAAGCTGTTCATGCATAGATAAGATCCGTAAAGTCACAAAGATTAAAGTCTCAAACCCAAAGAGATATTCTTTCTAAAAGTTAGTGTCTTTCGTAGACTTTCTAGTGTCTACGTCACTGTGTGGGGAGATTTGAATAACGCCGCCCAAATGTATGCACAAAGAAAGAAGGCATAACTTTTATTCTCGCTGTAGTATTGTTGTCACCGCCGCCATGTCGTGGAGATGCTGTTTGTTTCCAAATATGGTAAGGGGCGTAACATTTCCATCACACCATAATTATTTATTCCTGTCCTCAGAAGAGGTTCACAAGTAAAAGCACTTTTTTATTGTATAGCATAGTATACATTAGTACCACAAGGCTCTCTGGAATACTTGATCCTGATTGGTCCATCATGGCATTATAAGGTCAAACATTTCACATAATGACCTTTGAACTGTGTATAGGAGCACATTCTCACGATTTCCAACATAGCAGTGTTAGTTTAATGTCTTCCGTATCCCTCCACTCTTTCTTCTCACGTAATAAAAAAACTCAAATCAATATTTCATAGGTTTTTATTTATTCATTTGGTAAGTACCAGTGTAGCCAGTGATTATCACAAAACATAAACCCCCTCCTCTTCTAATCATCTTGTCAGAATACATTTAGCAAAAATGACCAGCTGACTTTACATTGTCCCTCACATACAGTATTTTTATC